AAACACGGAGTACCCGGAGAAAACCCACGACTTTCGGCAGAGCGTTGACTTACTCTTTTCACATTAGGACTGGGTTCCAGTCACAATGAGAAGTCCTCATTGAGATTCGAACCTGCGACCTTAGAGGTGAAAGGCAAGTGCGCTTTAGTTCTCTGATTGGACAAGCTCATTGTGAGGTATAATATATCTATAAATGTTCTATTAATCAAGTTTTCATTATTATATAACTAAATAAAATCATATATCAATATCAATATATATACCCCCAGTATGTAAGTGCTTATGATACAAGTAAATGTATATATATATATATATTTCGATAAAGTGTAATTCAGTAAAAATTGAATAACATTCTGGCATAAATTATAATGAGGGAGGCCGGGAGGGGGCAAGTCGATCCCAGCATGTTGACCCCTCCAGTGAATTATATGTTATCCCCCCGCCAGTGAAGCCTGAGGTAATTCTTTTTGTAAAAATTATAGAGCCATTGTTTCGTGTGTGAATATATTAAGATTGTGTCTGAAATTGCAGGGAATCAAGACGATCGAGTTCTTAAAACAAGCCCTGGATTAGTAAATTAGTGACTGACACACAGTTCCATTCTCATACAATATGAAAGAAACCATCTTTTACTTTAAATTCGAAGTAATGTTTTAGTACAACCGCAAGAAAAAATTTTTAGCTTAGTTTAGCACATTTTTCTGCATCATGACACTGTCACCTTCTGTCACCGTGAGAATTCCAGGACAATGTCAATGATGATTATTGATGAAAAACGCATTTTATACCACAAAAAGACATTTTACATACTCATTTATACTTGAGTACAGTATTCTCAGTGTTTATTTCATATTTGCATGAGTACAATATGATAACGAGATTTCCTGGAACACAACTACCTATATGATTTAACTTTAACCGACTTTCAACTACTACTTACCAACAGTCTTTATTTGGAGGATTATTCTTTTGTAACGTTCGTGCTTGTCTAATACTTTTGCTTAATATCCTACAATCTCATATATCAATACGAGTACGACGAAGATGTCTGTTTGATTCTCTGTTTATGACTGCATGTATGAGTAGCCCGCGGAAGCAGCTACTTATTCACATGTACTTGTACTGACATGTATCAGCTGTTAACACTATCCATGGACCTCATGGTAATATAATTATTGTAATTAAATTCAGTAAAATGGAAACTCATTTTTAATTATCATTTTTCCGCATTTCGACTAATCTTTAGTGATCCTCCAGAATTATGAAAGCAACTAATAAATTTTGCAAGTTGTAAAAGCCATATTACACGAGGCAATTTTTGCTGCAACTCGCAAGCAATTTTGGATCCATGGCGGCCATCTTATTATATTTAAAAGTGGTTGTGTTTTGCCAACACTTTCTTTACATAATATACTCCTAATTAGGATGAAAAATGAAAGCCATGGGGTGAAAAATGTCGGAAGAGTGAACTTCGGGCCATGCTCATAATTTCCCTGCGACTGGTGCATGTTTGGTCACATAGCTCTATGTCAAAAATTTCAAGCTGCAGCAAAAATTGCCTCGTGACCTTAATACCGGTGTGAAATAGGTGATGACAAATCTGTCATCTTAATTGAAGATATTTACAATTACTGAAGTGTCGCATGAGTTACTTAATCTGTTGACGAATTTCCGAGTAGCTGGAATCAGAATGTTCCTTTAGTTGATCTTGTAGTAAGTCTTCTTGCTGTTTTGTCAACATAAGGATTTGAACAGGTCAGACAAGTAACTTTATAAACAATAAAACTAACTTTGGTGTTGCTTAGGTGTTGGATCTTTCGTAGTTAGGACTCCTAACTACGAAAGATCCAACACCTAACTGACTTATAGGAAAGAGTTGGTAGTGACTGTGTCATGGTGAATTAATGTGGCTGATTGTTTGAGTAAACTTGATCTTCTTCGTGCAACTATATATTAAAAAGTTAAGCACTCTATATCTTGATGATACACTTGTTCTCGCTAACTGTCCAACATTCCTATGATCTCACTGTCTCACATAAAACTCATGAGTCATGATCTACTCTTCTGGCCTCAAATACAATTAAATTCACTAATGACATATTTACTTTTAATCATGACCACACCTACAGGAACTGCTGTTTATTGCAGATAATCCATGATTCGCACTGGGCAATACATCCTTTCTAATTATCTAGTATTATTACCCATGGAAATTTCTAACATGAACAAATTCGCTTCTTGGAACGGGTTTCCGAAACGACTAACTAAACTGTATAACAAAATAAACACACTTATACCAATATTATTCACTCCTAAAACTAATAACATATCAAATGACAGCGTTAACACGGACACTATCGGGTTAATAATAATAATAATTACAATATTTAGTCAGGGGGTCCACTCACGAAAGTGATTTTCAGTGGAGCCTTGATAAAAAATAAAATAAAAGAACAAAAATATAAAACTAACAAAGTGAATATATGAAAGGTTATATCGTACAAAGTTCTTGCGCATCCTATTGGTTCGATAGAGTCATAGAGTGTCCTGTGCCGTATGGCTATGTTCCAGCTTCCTTTCTTTGGAAAAAGAGGTAGAATTTTAATATATACCAGACGTGATAAGTGATTTTATAATTATATGTCTTCAAGTTCAGTCATTTTAATGTCCCCATAAACCTGTTGGTATGGTTGACCGAATGACCGAAAGAAAAAGGCGTTTTAAATACAAGAGCCCATTAGTACTAATTTCTCATAAGTGGCTCTGATCTTAAGGTCATTGACGGTGATATTAATCGTTTTATGTGAAGGAATGTTAGTATTGAAAGAGAAGGGTAGCTATACAGTAAACGCAAATGAAACAAATCTGTAGCCTTCTGAAAATATGAAGTTGTGTGATAATCAAATATGGCTAACTGCGTCTCATTTGGGAAGCCTCACATATCGATTTTGTCCACGAGAAACGTCATATGTTCGTTCGGGGGTGGGGTTTGCAGCTGTGGCGTTTCTCTGCCGAAACATCATGGAAAAATTCGATTGTTTTTTTCGAAAACCTTAATTAATATTTCGGAATCATCTTTGCAGACTGATATAAAAAAGGAAACAACTTGATACAAACACCAGTCTATACATTCGTAATACCATACCAGTTCTACACATTTATATTACTACGCCTTTCTTGCATTGAAAACACTCAAATTTCAAGGAAAACGCACTAAAATTGTTGTTTGGAGAAACGTTGAATATTTCAGCTGAGGTACTGTTGTATAGTTTAGTTGATTTATGATTGATTTGGTAATAAGAATTAAGCAAATGTCCATCTGCATCGTTATAATTAGGATTTGAAGATAGGTTTATATAGCGATTATTTCAGCAGCAGAGTCGATTATTTTCAGCAGGACTGCAGTTCTGTTTGATTTACTTTATTTGTTTATGGACTGTAGTTGAGTTAAATTAAAGGATTTAGCCATTTAGGGGACAAAAGTGGTGGAGAACAAAATCCTCGTGGGCAAGAATTTAGAAAGGATTTTATTGGAACAATATATATTTTGGACGATTCCATACCGTTTCAAAATATGATCGTCTACGATGATCTGGTAGTACTTTGATATGCTTTATATCAACGGTTAGTGTTATCAGAGTCCAAGAAATTTCGGGCCATTGCTTTGATAGTGTTTTTGATATTCTGTTGTTTGATAAAATTACTGGAACGAGATTGTTTCGTTTTATTTGTTTCATTTCCGTCGCATATAAACGCATCAAATGAACTTGTTCGATAAGATCTTTAATTAAGTTGTGTTGACAGATTTCTTATCACTTTTAACCACACCTATGGTTATGTCATTGCACTGTATTTCCGACTCAGTAGTTATATGGAGCAGAACTAGATTTGTCGTACAAGGAAGGACTTGTCAAAATAAACAATTTTCCAAAACCTGATCATGCTATCACACGTGACACATATTTTATTAGGATAGTTAATTTATGGTAATACCGGTATTTGCTTTTAACAAATGACTCACGTTCCAGTCATTACGAGGTCAGCTATTGTAATATATTATATTATCAAATATTATATATCATATTATTTCAAGTCATGGCGAGCTACTGTGATATGGTGTAAATAGCCCAAAGACTTTTAAAATATTTTGATAGGACATTGCAATTGGTTGGAATAACAACATCAGTTTAAAATAAAAATTGCCACGGATTCCCTGTTGGGCGACCTATCCTACCTCTGCCCTTTTAGAGGAACTAATTTAGTAAGTCTCGATTCACAAGAAATAGTTAGACATGCATGTTAGTTTTCAACTCACCGTACGTTTTATTCATATTATGGCCCCCTCTCTTATACAGTAAGCTCCCCTGCTCAGTGAACTTCCTGGCTCAAGGGTGGGAGGCTAAATAGGGGATTTACAATAATTTACAAAACCTTGCCACAACGCGTATAAGTTCTCTAAATTTCTTATAAAATCCAATGTCATGGAACACGATTATATGCGATGTTCCGCAGATTCAGAGGCAGACCAGTACATGCGACTGCGAGCAGGCCGGTCTTCAAAATTCCAATTACATGAAGTATTGAACGTCCAGAAATGAACGCGCGAGCCGCGAGGAGTTATGGGAAGATTGAATTTACAAAAGTCAAAGACTCAAAGTGTTGGACAGTATTCCATGTGATATTTATTATATTTTCTTATTTTGAGAAATATTGTGTGAGGTTTTAAAAATCATAACGTGAAATATATATCAGTGAGCATATGAAAATATGACAACTGCTGCCAGACCGACATTTGAGCCAGCCAGAGGAGGCAGAGGAAAGGGGGAAGGCGATTTATCAGCTTTGTCAAAACAGTATTCTAGTAGAGATTTACCTTCGCATAATAAACTTAAACGCAGGTTTGTAGCCATTAAAGTAACATATTTTCTTTGAGAACGTCATGTACATTAGTTTGTGCCTTACCCAGGGTTATAACTTGTAAGAGACAGTGTATATAGAACTGAATGTAGAATTATAAATAGATGGGATTTTTGTAGATGGAATTTTCGAACAAAAATTCATAAACAATTTTGGACCTATTAACCTGGAGCAGCCGCAAAAAATGCAACGTTAAGGTCTCATTCCATGAGAATAAAGAAATGCGAAATATTTCGCATGAAATAAAATTGTGCATGTGCAGTGCAGTTAAATTTGGCTTTGCGAGAAAAAATGTCACTAGTTTTAGTCAATGCGATAGCAAATAAAGTGGCCAAATTCAATATAATCGCTCATGTGCAGCCATCATCTCAGTGATTGTGCTCCATAGCTCAGTGGTCAGTGCTGCACCAGAATCGCAGGGCTGCAGGTTAGATTCCTGTCGGCAGGCCTAAAGTTGTATTTTTCACAGATGGTCACAGGGATGTCGCACGTACCAGCCCTTCAGGTATCTGTTTGAAGTCCTGGCTAATAATAATTTGGGTATGGCCAATAATAATTTGGGTATGGCCAATACTGGTTTGCTCTACTGAGGCTCCGGCTATTAATTCATGAGTGAAGTGAGTTAATGCAAAGAATGGAAGGTCGAAGCTTCAAGGGCGCTGTAAGTTAAGTGGTGGGCAAAGGGTTGTAAGCTTTTATTTGTTTATTTGGTATATTGTCCGAGTGCAAGACAGGGCTAAAAATTTGCAGCTTGTCATGACTGCAAGTACCGGCGAATTACACACAGCCTCTGGCGAATGGCTGGCGAAATTCGCTGTTCGCCGGCCTAAAACAAGATGGGTGACATACTTATAAAGGCATCCTGGCTCAAGGCCGGATTTTGGTGGAAATAGTGGGGGAGGTGGACAAATATTTAGGGGAGGGTGCAACGGTCTAGCTCATGACCGCCATGGAAAGCTATGGCTTAGAATGGACCAAAGTCGACGATGTGACATATGCATGTAGTGTATATATGTATCAGTGTATTAATATATTATGACTGTACAACCATTGAACTATAAGTAAACTGGAACGATAACTCCTATGATGAAGACCTATGTTTGGGTGAAGCTAAATTTTGGGCACTCAAGTATAGCCTGTTCGCAGGTATGTATACTATAATAAATACACAAAATTTTTCACGAAATATTTTACTAAATATTTAATCCTTAATTTTAACTTATTAAATTATGCTTCTGGATGTTTGGACTCCATTATCAACCATATCTAAGATTTTTCTACGTAAATTGTATAAAATTGTCTCAGAACTCTTTGTCGGAAGTCTAAAGAAGTCTTTCTGGAAAGTTTTGTTCGTGTCATATTTCGGCAGCTAAACAATATTTACTTATTTTATGTGCCTTGGATAAAAGTTGTGTTGTCTAAGTGTGCTCTGAGGTAAATATAAATGCCCTGAAAGAAGTAAAAGTGAGAAAATATTAACGATTTTTAAGCTGTAGTTTTTGCATCCATTTTGTAAAAAAGGACCAGGGCTACCTGCAGAAAACACTCATAACCAGCTTCAAAGATGGCGGCCAACTTATCGTTCCAGTTTATTTATATAGTTCAATGTGTTCAACTCATCCAATTTTGCCCTCATTACAATTACTACAAAGTTTCTTTCAAAACATGGCATTAAAAGGGTACTTGACACTGAGATGAATCATGAATGGCTATCACTGTTTCAATTTTACAGAAAAACGTTCTTATGAAGTGTAGACCCTAAGCAATCAAAAAATGTCAAATTTTCACTTTGATCTATCATTAAAACTTTCCCAAGGGGAGGTGCATGACTTTTCAGGGGAGGTACAAAAATTATCAGGGGAGGTACAAAGCGATCTCAGGGGTGGTACACACCTCCCCTCAAAATTTGGCCATGTCCTGGCTCCTTATAAACAGCCCTTAAATTTGTCTGCTTGAAATATTTTCTTGGTTTAATGCCGGGAAATTTTACCAGTCAAGGGATAGTATTTAGTATTATTTGATTGAACTGGCCAAATCCATGTACTTAGAGATAGATATCAAAAGTAATCGAAGGTAGGGGTGAACCAGAACCAATATTTTAAGTTCCAGTCGAATCGGATGTGAAAAAGTCCAGCCGGAACCAGAAATGACTTTATTTAACCGGTTATGATTTTAAGTCGGGTCTTATGATTTAAAAAAAAATATGATTGTATACAGTAGTATCATGTCTAATAGATGTAATTAAAATGATGTCAGTAATATTATCTGTTCAAATATTTGGTTGATGTTCATTAGTAAGTGAACTTTATATTCTTTTTCCAATTTTCCTAACAAAGCCGGGATTCTGCATGGTTCAGGTGTGACGCGAAATTTCTGACTTGCAAAATATCTGACTATTGTAGAACTACCAATGCGCAGACAGCACGTGTATTTATCATAGATATCTTATAAGAAAGTCATTTTGTTGGATAATATTTATATATTTATACTTAAATTTTCAAATTCTACAATTGACCAACTGAATTGACACTATACCACTGGTTGTGAACGTTAGCGTTCAGCAATAATAAAGCTTGAATCTAAAATCTGCGAATGGAAAAAGTCAGCGCCCAAGGTGCGAGCACCCTAGGGGGTTGAAGGGTATCCCCACCAGAAAATTTTGAAAATTAGAACCCTAGAAATGCCATTTCCTGCGATATGGGCATTGAATTATGAGCTTCAGTTTGACTTCAAAAAAGGAAAATCCTTCTGAATTTGATTTTTGTGTACCCCCTTGCACCCCTGTTGACCAAGGCCAACACTTCAACGTTTTGAATGAAAGCTCTATGTCAGGAAGTTAGTAGCGTGGATTGGGGAAAAAATTAATTTTTCCCTATCTGTGTTACTAACTTCCCGACAAAGGGCCTTTGCTATTGTAAATTGTATTTCCAATGAAATTTGCTGTTTAAAATTTGTATTATATCATTTTTGTTGATGGCAATTAATATAATTAAGTAAAATATTATATTAAAATTTCCAGGCAAACTGGGCAAGACAGTGTTGGTGAATTACGAGAGAAAGATTTCAAACGTGATTTAGAAGAGCGAGAACGTCAAGCAGCAAGAGAAAGAACGAGAGACAGAGGAAGTCGGACAGAATCAAAAAGATCTCGACTAGATCAAGTGCCAGCTACTAATTTAGATGCAGATGATCCTGTTGATGATGACGACTCAGATGACTCAGATGAAAGGTTTGAATTTAACACATTTTAACGTTTTGAAATATGGCTGGTCGATACAAGAAGGCCACTGAGGGTGGATTCTCAATGCCCTTGAAGTGACGTCACAACACCTCACTTGGCATACTTTTTGACTTCCACCATTTTGGGTGGCAAATATGTAAAGCTAAATTGGAACAGACACAGCGTCAATTAGCCATCAATTTTACTTCTATGGACTTCCAAATGATCGCTTTCATTTACACCAACATACAGATTTTTTAGCATGATATAATATTACTAAATAAATGTAACTGGTGTTTATTGAACCCGTCAAGCTTCACCTTACTGTATTCTTTTGTTCTGCCAGGTGATTTTACTTGTCAGGGGAGAGTCTTATGCATTAATGGTTAATCAAAAAGTCTGCCAATGTGTTTTAATAACCCAATTA